CTCAGTTATTCCTACCAAATAAAACCATGCCACACTCTAGTAAATCTGATGTTTTTCATTCAGTTTACAAGGCAGGTTATTTTATGAAATAAAATCTCCACCACACACAAGAAATGTCTGTTCTATATGTATTCATATCCTAAAATTTCCCTTTTAAGCTCTACCAAGAAGCCTTTAAAGAAAACCCATAACCAGACTGTACAACAATCCCAAGAAAAGAAACACCATTGTTTAAAATGCCAGATGTCGATCAAAGTGTTTTCTTGGGACTACACCTAAAAGAAAGTTTCTGAACTCTGAATAATCAATAGTTATTACACTGCATTACACGGAATTATTCTGTATTTGCAGAACAACCAAGTCAAACTGCAATGTCTCAACACAGCCCTCATCATCATTGCTGTCTACCCAGGATTTTTTTCAGACTCTCTTTCATCCTGCACAGCTACTTGCTGAATTAATATTCTTTTTTTTTTTTTCTTCATTGACTTAGACATTCCCAGGGCAATTGCTTTGCCTGCATCTTACTCAACAGTAACTGACTACACAACACCTGCCTATGCCACGTGGAAAACTGCAACCTGATTTCCCTCGGGTTTCCTTCTGACCCAGAAGATAAAACTCAGCTCTATCACAGCTGTGCAGCTGGACTGGTTTCACATCGAAATTTCACCTACAAAACCTCCACGAGCTTTACATGCCGAGATTTCAGAAGCACTAAATCTACAGGAGCCAGTCTGCCACCTCAGCGCACCTATTAAATTTTTTTTATATATTACTGATAACTTCAAGCTACATCACCACGAGGAGCTCACGGATGACCAGCTCTTATCCTCAAGCACACGGCCCAGCACACAGCTCCGCTGTGGAGACTGACGCCAGCTGTCACGCGGTTCGGAAGGAGACGTAGCACAGGTAGAGCACAATTCCATAAATCAGGAAAGCCAGGCTGACTCGTTTTATCCAAATCAAACCCTCAGGCAGGCCCAGGCCAGCACCGCCTGCATCTCCGGGGCGCCCTTGCACGGGGCCCGAGGCCGGACCAGGGGAGTCCCCGCCGCCCGCCGTCCCTGCCCGCCCGGGCCCTGCGAGCCCCGCGCTGCCGCCACGTCCCCCCGCCGCCCACGGGGCCGGGCCTGCCACGTCCCCTGTCGCCGCTGCGCAGGATGCTCTCCAGACCCAGGCTGTCGCCGAGGCCGCCGGGCTGTGACCCCGCCGGCCGCTCGTTCTCCTTGTTGTCCTTGCCGTCCTTGTGGTCCTTGTTCTCCTCCGCCCCGGCCCCGCGGCCGCCACCGCCGCCTCCCTGACGCTCCGCCGCCATCTTGCGCCGCGGCCGCGGTGCATCACGGGCCGGGGAGCGGCGCGAGCGGCCGCGCGGGGGCCGCCGGGAACGGGGAGGACCCGGGGGGAGCCCGGGATCGGGATCGGGGAGCCGGGAAGGGAGAGCGGAGGATCCCGGCAGCCTCCCGGGACTGGGCCTCACCCAGCGCTTGGATACATCCCTCTGGCCCTCCTGCCCGTGTCCCGCTCATCTATCCTGGACTGAGCCCCTCAGCTCCGTCACAGTGCTCTGCCCAATGCTGACCCCGAAATCAGCCTCCAGGGTCACCCACCCACCCCAGAGCTGACCCCCAAATCAACCCCAGGGTCACCACCCCCAACCCTGCCCCACTCACCCCAGAGCTGACCCCCAGATCAGCCCCAGGGTCACCACCCCCAACCCTGCCCCACTCACCCCAGAGCTGACCCCCAGATCAGCCCCAGGGTCACCCCCCAGCCTGACCCCACTCCTGGCCATGCTGTTGCTGCTGTTCCTCCGCAGTGCTGTGGCAGTCCTGGGCGAGCCTGTCCATCCATCCCTTTGCCCCTTCCCAGGACACTGCGAGCCTGCTGCTCTGGGCAGCCCTTCGAGAGAGGGGATTTCAATTCCCCCAGGCCCAGCACTAAAATCAAAACCCACCTCAAGCTGCCTGAGCCCCTTCGGGCTGTGCACCTGGTAAAAGAAGAGACTGTAGTTATCTCCCCTAATCCTGAAGCTATTTCATGGTGTAAGCACTTAAGAACAGGTCTTTTTGCATATGGGGTTGAACACCTCATTCAGGACAAATACCAAACTTATTTGAGCAATAATCATAATATTTACATGAACCTTTGTAAGTACAAACTGCTCCAAGAGCTGCTCATGCCCCCAGACCCATCTTTGCCAGCCCTGGGCTCTGCCTGCCTGGCTGCACTTTGCTGTCACACTACAAGAAGCAATTTGGCTCCTCTCCCCTTCCAAGGGCTCAGTTGTGTTCTGTTATCCCTGATTTCAAACTTCTCCTTTCCTCTCATAGACAGCAAAGCCCAAAGGGGGAAAAAAAATAAAAATCAACCCAGGTCCTCAAGTTGCAGCTTTCTGTGCAAATATTTTGAACTGCTCCAGGCTCCAAATGGATCTCCCAAGAATTCAGTCCCTATCTGAACCAAACCGTGCTCCAGGATGATGCTGAACTAAGCAGGCATGGCAATTAAAGCCTATTTTACAAACAGCTCCTCTCTTGCAGCTGTGGTGGTTCAGATAGACTTGGGTTGGGCTGGCACAGCAGCACTCACCCTCAGGTGCCAAAAAAACCACCCCAAAGGACCTATTCCAGTGTCAGGACAGCCACCAGCTGTGGCACAGGCACATTTCTGCCACACCACCTTTCTTGTACACTGGCACGAAGCTTTGCTGCTCCTCTGGATTCCTCTGGAATCTGGAAATGGGAGGATAAATCGTGAATTCCTCCTGCAGGGCTGGCTCTGCTCTCCTGCAGGGCAGGGGGACAGAGGATCACACAAACCTGCAGCCCCTCAAGGAGCAGAGCCTCGAGGGGAGCCTTGCAGCGAGGCTGAGCTGCCTTTGGTGTCACAGGGATTGCTGCAGAGAATAAATCCACAGAGTTACAGGCTCCAGGCACTCACATCCCTCTGCCAGCCAGCCCTGCAGCCTGCAAAGGCTGGGAGGCCCACAGTGTGCCTTTTCCTATTGATTTTGGCCAGAGGATCTTGCTTTTGGGGATCTGGATCATCCTTCTGCACCCCTGCCCAAATAACCTGTGTCTCAGGACAAGAATATATTTTCTTATTTACCTTTATACTGCTAGTCGTGAATTTTACTGATATTTGGGAAGAAACTAAGTGTTTTCCAGCTTTGTGGGTTTTTTTAAATAATCTCACCCTGCAGCATAAGGTCTCTCTGCAGTCTGACCAAAGCTCCAGTGAGACCAAAGACATCACCAGTACCCTCACACATATTCCCTGTGGTACCTGAGGACATGGGGCAATCCCACTGGTGAAACCTGCCTGGGACTGGGGCAATTCCCACATGGTGAAACCTCTCTGGGGCCAGGCTTTCCCCACGAGTTTCCCACCAATGTCCTTGGTCGTGGCTGGGGATGTGGCACCGGAGTGGCTCCCTGGGGGCATGCGGCCAGTCTGGGATCAGGAGGGGAAGGCAGAGCTGTGTTCTGTGTCTCAGCCGCTCCTTGAGCCCTGTGGGGTGGCCGATTTTCCGCTGTGCTGCTCCTAATTGCCTGCTTTCCCCTGTGGGATGTCATCAGGAGCACGGAGCATCCTCACACCAAAGGGGTCTGTTCACTTCCCCATGCACCTCCTCCAAACGGGAGCTGGTTTTTGGGGCTCCCTGTGGGCAGCCGAGGGTGAAAAGGGCTCTCTGTGCTGCGGTGGCAATGTCACAGGGCTGTGAGTGTCCCCAGAGCTCAGCTCTGAACGTCCACTAAGAGAACTGAGAAGCTGCGGAGTGAGTTAGTTACAGGAGGAATCGATGCATTAAATATTTCTCTCTCCACAGGAGCAAAACACGGCGGGCTGGGGTGGGGTCAGACCGAGAGTCCTTAGAGAGCTGATTGCACCGGCCGGTCCCAAGACTTCCATCTGTGCAGCACCAAAAAGGCAATTTTACAGGAAGGAGGCACAGCATGAAAAGATTTGTTCTCGATGCAATGTATCACGCTGCTCTCCCAGCCATGGGGAGAAATGCAGTTTCTCCTGAAAACCTGGGCTCGCCTGGCGTGTTTTGGTATTTAACGAGGATTTAGCTGCCCTCTGGACAATGCGGACACATTGGCACTCAGAAGACCCCTATTCTTAAATACCAGCCCTGCAGCCCCTGGGGTTGAACAAACCCTATTCCAGTGACTGCTGAAGAGGGGGCCGATAAGAAAACCCCCGCTGACACCTCGCTTTGGGTGCCCAGCTCCCTTTGGGGTGCCCAGCTCGGCTGCCCCAGCCCCTCCCGGGGGCGACAGCACTGACTGACACCGACATTCCCCGAGGGGAGCGGGGTCGGGATCCCCTCCCCGGGGCGCGGTTTGCGGGGCCGGGCGGGAGCCGCGCCCGGAGCCCCCCGGGCCCCCCCGCTCCGCCGGCGCACGGAGAGCGCCGGAGCCGCCCCGAGCACCCGCGGGCTCCCGCACACCCGGAGGAGGTGAAGGGCCCCCGGCTCCCCCGCACCATCCCCGTGCGCCCCGGCGGGACCCCCGCACGCTCCCCATGCACCCCCTTTCCCCTGCATCTCCCGTGCGCTCTCCGTGCACCCCTTTTACCCTTCCCGTGCATCCCTGGTGTGCTCCCCGCTGTAGTTTCCTTGCATCTTTTGCTGTGGATCCCTCCTGTGCTCCCCAGCGTGCTCTCTGTGCACCCCTTTTCCCGTGCAATCCCTGCTGACTTCTCCGGGCACCCCCTTTTCCTTTGCATCCCTGCAGCACTCCCCACTGCACGTCTCTTCCTGTCCACCCCTTTCCTGTGCATCCCTGGTGTGCTCCTCACTGACCTTTTCCCTGCACCCCCTTATCCCTTTTCCTCCCTTTTGTGCTCCCCAACGTGCTCTCCCTGAACCCCCTTTCCCCTAGTACACCCCACACTGATCTCTCTGTTCACCCCCTCACCTTGTGTGCCACCCCGGTGCCTTCTCCACGTACACTCCCCACCTCTAGCCCCTGTCCGTGCACTCCCGGCCATGAACGGCTCTCTGGCTGGCTCCGGGGCGGGCTGGCAGCCTGAATCCGTGATCATCCCACTCGTGTACCTCGTCATCTTCCTCGTGGGCACCGTGGGCAACAGCCTGGTCCTGGCCGTGCTGCTGCGCAATGGGCAGGTGAAGAACACAACCAACCTCTTCATCCTCAACCTGGGGGTGGCTGACCTCTGCTTCATCCTCTTCTGCGTCCCCTTCCAAGCCACCATCTACACCCTGGAGGGATGGGTGTTCGGGCCCTTCATGTGCAAGGCTGTCCACTTCTTCATCTACCTCACCATGTATGCCAGCAGCTTCACCCTGGCCACCGTGTCCCTCGACAGGTAGGAAAAGGAATGGGGAGGGGGGGCTCCCTGCACCCTGAGGCTCCCCTTTCTCTGGATCCCAACAGGGCAGGGAGGGCACAAAATCCCCTGGAGCTAAATCCTGACTGCTGTGACCTCCCAGGGCTCCTGGGGGAATCAAGGAGCATGTCCCAGTTGCTGTGTGCAAGGAAGTGCAGCCACCCAGTATGAGATCCTGCAGAGGGCTGGATGGGGATCCCTGGCCCCAGTCCCCAGCTGGAGGAAGCTCTCAGACTCCAAAGCTGTAGGACTGGGATTTATCCACAGGCCTTGGCAGTGAAATGGAGATGAAAAATGAGAAAGAAGCAAAACTCAGTCCCTGTGCAGCTCTGGCTCCTCCTGAGATGCATGGAGACAGCCTCTACCCCCCAACAGCCCCCAGCAAAGCAGGCAGACCTTGAGGAGAAAAAAATACTGGGATGTTTGAGCTGAGACACTGATTTTCCCACTCTCCCCTTCTATTAGCAAAAAGCACCTTTCAAAAAGTCCCAGTGCTTCCCTTGTCCCCGTGATTATCCCAGTCCATTCCGGGGTGGGTTTTACTGGGAAGCCTGTTGCTCCTGCCTGTGCTTTACTTCAGTCCCTGCCTCTGCAGGGTCTGGTGACCCTGCAGCAAGTGAGAGGCTGGGAGCTCCTGGTGCTGCTCCACTCAGGCCAAAACCTATGAAATGGGATGTGGAAAGTCCATAGGGGAAAGTCCCCTGGGAGGGACTGCAGCCCAGCTGGATGTGTCCTGCCATCCCAGCACAGCACTGCACTGGCTGCTGACAGCATCCCCAGGAGCTAAAAACACATCCAGGGGCTGCCTCTCCCCCTGTATCCCATGGAGCAGAGGGAACAGATGTGTTGAGCAAGGGAGGGTTTGCACAAGCCTCAGATCTGGGTGCAATTAAGGGACCAGCTAATTACAGAATTCAAGAGGAGTGATGTGATCTCATGTGTGCCAGTACAAGGAATGCTGTGTCTGGGAATCCTGGGCACTTGCTCCTGCCTTTGTATCCTCACTGTTCTGATCACTTGTGCCAGAGAGTGATGGTTAAGTGAGGGTCTGCTGGATTAGGGGAGGGACAGAATGGGACCATCTCTATTTTTCCCACAACCACTGCTAAGGGCAGAGGGTGATGGGACAGGGTCAGGGAGAGAATCTTCCTCAATCCTTTGTGCTGCACAGGGTCCCTAAGAGGCAGCAGGGAATCAGTTTTGTGACTAACTGCCCTGGAAAGCTCAAATCCATCATTCCTGCCCTTTCCAATCTGCTCCTGGCAATGCTCTCTGTGTGCCCTCTGCGGGACTGCAGCCATGTCCCTCTCCCTTTCCCCTGCAGGTATTTGGCCATACGATACCCTCTGCACTCTAGGGAGCTGAGGACACCCAGGAACGCCCTCCTGGCTATTTGTCTCATCTGGGGGCTCTCCTTTATCTTCTCGGGCCCTTACCTCACCTACTACCAGGAGTTCCAGCTGGCCAACCTGACTGTCTGCCACCCCATCTGGGAGATCTCCCAGCGCAAGATCATGGACATCTGCACCTTCATCTTCAGCTACATCATCCCCGTGCTCATCCTAAGCCTCACTTACGTGCGGACTATTCGCTACCTCTGGCGCTCCGTGGACCCTCTCCAGGACATGTCGGAGTCCAAGAAGGCCAAGAGGAAGGTCACCAGGATGATCATCATTGTTGCAGTCCTGTTCTGCCTCTGCTGGCTGCCCCATCACCTGGTCATCCTTTGCATGTGGTTCGGGTACTTCCCCCTCAACCACTCCACGTACGTGCTGCGCATCCTCTCGCACGTCATCTCCTACGCCAACTCCTGTGTGAACCCCATCGTCTACGCCCTGGTCTCCAAACACTTCCGCAAGGGCTTCAAGAAGATCTTCAGCTGCCTCCTGCACAAGAAGGCAGCACACAGGGTGCACGTGGCCCAGGCTGCCAACACGGTCAGCACGCTGGAGGCAGAGCTCAGTGAGGTGACCCAGCTGAGTGAAGCCCTGCCCAGCCACTCTGCTGTGCGCTGCAGGGTCCCTGCACAGCCCTGCGGGGAGGCAGAGCTGGTGGGACAGCAGCAGAGAGCAGATGGCTCCTCTGTCACATTCAATGTCAGCTAGCAGAGCTTCCTGCCACCCCATGGCTTTGCAGTCTCCTGCAGCATCCAGGCCTGAGGATGGGCTACATTTTGAGTTGAAGTGGGTCCAGTTGAACCCTTTTCATTCAAATGCATCCAGATATCGTAGCTGTGATGCTGCTGATACAAACTCAGCCAAGAACCAACCAAGGACAGGATTTGCTTCCACCAAGCTCTTGATGAGAGCAGAGAGCTCAAACCCAAAAATCCACTGTAGTGTGTAAACACCTGTTCCTCTGTCATGGACAGACTTACTCCCTGTTGCATCTACACCCAAAGCCTGTGAAAAGCTCTGGCCCCTCCAACCATCTGGAGTTAATGGGTGCACTTTTAGGGACATTTGGAAAGTCTTGGTTTGTTTGTGTCCTGGTTTAGGAGCTGCATCCCAGGGCAGCACTGGGCACAAACCCAGCTCAGGTAGGAAAATCCAGGAGCAAAGCACATAAGGTCACCAAGGACCAAGGGGATGGAGGTTGTTTGCCAGGGAAGCACAGCCATGGACCCATGGTAGGGGAAGGATTTTAATGCCTTTGGACAGCCTGGGGACAGCTCAACATCTCAAGCAGGCAGATGCTCGTGGAGACAAGAAGGGCACTGCTGCTGCTTCCCTGAGGCAGGACAGCCAAGGCTGTGTGAGAGTTGGGAGTGCCCAGCAAGCCTCAATAAAGCCCCTCCATCCCACCTGCCGTGTTCAGATCCTTTGAAAAGCCCTACAGCTGCGGTGAAGGAGAGGCTGGGGGGTGGGACCTGCTGGATGCAGGGGAGCTGAGGGGGGATGGAGGATGTGGGTGATGCCTGAGCACATCTCTGGAGGGGGCAGAGCAGCACGGGAATGTCACTGACCCCGCTGAGTGCAGCTGCCCACAAAAGGCTGCTGTGATTCATACTCCCACCTCTTAGCCCTGCAAAGACTCCACGGGTGCCTGAGCCCTTTGACTGCCCCCTGCCAAGGGCTTTAAGTGAAGACCTTCCTCTTCTTTACCAAAAGAGCATCACCACACTAGGATCAAATCATCCTTTTGAAAACCCCGTGGCAGAGCACAGCCAGAGGTGGTGGTGAAAGTGCAGGGGAGCTGGGATGAGCTGTGCTGTGCATCCCTACAATTCCCAGGTGTGTACCCCAACAGCCCCCATGAAGGTCATGTCTCTGTAAACTGCCATTACAGACGCTCTAAGTCTGTCTGCACTGATTTCACTGTTGTGAATCCCCACAGCAGAGCTCCCCAGGACTGGGATGGGTATTTCTGTCCAGGACCCTGCTTCTCCCTGGGGTTCTGGTCCTGACACAGCCCTCCTCCACAGAGCCCCAGTGCTTGGCTTTATTTTCTCGAGAAACTTTTGACTGTAAAACATTTCTTTTCCCCTGCTGAGTGTTATTATAACCAGATCTTCCTCTCCCCACAGAGAGGGCCATAAATTGGCCACCTCCTCCTATCAGTAATGGTGATATTTAGTCTAGTCCTGTTCCCAGCATAAGTCACAGAGAGCAGTGTATAAGCAGCTCCATTAATTACATCTGCATTTATCTCCCTGCTCAACCCTTCACAGCCAGGGAAAACATTGAAGCAGCTGCACAAACACAGCTAAAAGCCTTACTTTCCTCGTGCCCTCATCTACCTCTGCTCAGAGAGCCACAGGATCTGACTCCAACAGATCCCACACACGCTGAGGGGTTCAGTCCACTCTCCTGGACAGTTATCAGCTCACCTTGGAGATGGAGATGTTGGCCCACCAGCTCTGCAGTGCCCAAGGGCACAGATCACTGTGCTGGCATGGCAGGGGGTGCAATATGCCCCATGTCCCCTGTCAGACACTGATTCTGCTGCCCTATCCATCCCACCCCAGCCTTTCCAACAGTCTCCCAAGCCCATGGCTGACCCTGCCAACTGCTCTAGAGCTGCCCAGCCATGCCATGACCACTTTGAAGACATGTCCCAGGATACCCCTAACTCAGCTCCCAGCCCAAAACATCACTGTGGCCCCTTTCCCAGGCTGTGGGCACCACTGGCACTTGATAATTTCTGGTCACTGTTCAGCAATGAAATCCCAAAGGGTGACAGCAGGCTCTGCACAGCTCCCAGCCTGTGGGCTGTACCTCACTGCTGCCTCCAGCACCCCCAAATCCCCTCTGACATGCACCATGGCTCACATGGCTGCTCTCACCCTCTCCAGGAGCAGAGAGGGCCTTGGTGATGGTCAGACAGCAAGGTCAGGGCTTTCACAAGGTCAGGGCTCTGTGTTGTGACACATCCAACACCCCTCCTCATTTTATGGCTCTTCACCCATCAGTTGGCTCTCACTTGTCTGCAGGCTGTAAGAGTGAAGCCAGATCATTACATTGTTTACACTAAATACAGAATTAGAGAAAAAAGCCCTCTCCAGCTTATCTGACACTGGCCCTGCTCATCTGAGGAGGAAACCATCACACTCACACCCAGCCCATGCCTTTATGAGCCCTCCAAGGGCAAACACAAGGTTTTGCTGCCAACACAAAACCATATGGGAAAGCTACTTTTCCCCTCAAGTAACAGAGCATATCAGGCCCAGATGGAAAAGACAAGAGCATCAGGAACTGCTGACACTTAACATGCTCCCAGCTGAGAGAAATGAGCTCCTGGTCCATTCCCTTGGGAGGTTTTATCTTAAGAGCACTGCAAGTCGTTATGTTCCAGTTAAAATTTAATAAAAGCATATTTAACTCGAAGTGAAAAATGAATAGGCTAAACTGAGCTCCCATCAAGCCCAAGAGTGGGCAGGGAGATAAGGGACACTTGGCTGAAACCTCAGTGAGTATGAACTTTCCAGTGAGCTTTCCACACAGATTTATCACTGGGTTAGAGAAGTTATTTTGGTTTGTGGGGTTGTTTTCAAATACTTAATCTGCCAAGTTTGCTCCCCAGTCTGAGGAGGCAGCAGGCAGCACCCCCAAACCCTGACATAGCCCCCAGCATGAGCTGCTGGGCAGCTAAAAACCAAACAACAGAGAAACAGGGCCTTGGCCCCAAAACCTTGGAAATTAGAGACACCTTCCCTGTGTCAGGGCAGAAGAGGAGGCGAGGGAAGGGTGTCAAACTCCACAGGAGCCTTGGGGGAGGCAGAGGGGCCCCTTGCCATGGTCTCAGCACAACTCCAGGCTCCACTCTCAGCTCTTAGAGGGGCATGAAGGGCTCAGTTGTGAGAGGGTCAGACTGTGCTGGCTGCCATGGTCGTTCTTAATTAACGTGTTGCAAACACATTCCTTACCATAAAAAGCCAAGGAGCTCACAGAGCCCTCCCTGGCGCTGCACAGTGCTGGGCACCAGCTCAGCCTGGAGCCTCCCCTGCTCCCACCCTGAGGAAGGAGTGGCTCAGGAAAAACCGTGCTGCTGGCCCCAAAGCAGGTCTGGCTCCCCACATTCATCCCCTGTGCAGGGGAGAAGCAGACAGTGAGAGAATGCTCAGAGCCAGGCTGAGTGAGAGGCTGGATTTAGGGAACAGGGGCCAAGTGGCTCAGCTTTCCCTTTAACTCAGGGAAATGAGGGTCTTGATTCCCACCTGGGAGCAGCAGAAGTTACCTGTTCCCCCAGGGAATCACCACCTCCAGCTCCTCCTCACTGCACAGATATCACCAAGCCCAGCTCTCAGCCCCCAGCAGCCTCTTACCCTCATTCTTTCTTACAGATGCAGCCAGGGCACCCCTGGGGTAGAAACAATGCAGTCAGCTACTGGTGCTGGTAATGGAGTGACCAGGAGGAAGCAGGATATTTTGCACCCCATCTCTGGCTGCATCTGCCCCCCAGCCCTGGTCTGATACAGCCTGCCTGGGGCAACAGGCTGACAGCAAAGCCCAGAAAGGCCTCTTTTGGTGGGGGGCACGCAGAGGCATTCCCAGAGCCTCTGGAGAACAGGATGTGGCCCCATCCCAGACTCCTGAATGACCTCATGCATTTTCTTTGGGCTTTAGTTGGCACAAAAACATCACCTCAGAGGATTTCAGCTCCTGCAGACTAAAGCTGCAGGCAAAGCTCCCCCTCCCCTCTTCCTGGCTTTTCCTGCAACCGTTCCAGGTGAATTGCCTCGCCCTGAGATCAGCTGCAATAAAACATGTTTTACGGCTCAGCATGAATTCCACGCACTCTCCTCAAGAAAGAAATTCATATCAGACTGCTGCAGTGTCAGAAACAGATCCAGAAAGATGGAATCCAGCTCCTTCTGGTGAATGTCAGGGTGTGTATCCAGCAGACTCAACTGCATGAAACACAAGTCAGCAAAGCTTTGCTTATGTATAAAAACACTGTCCGGCGCCTGCCGGCCTCCGGAGGCTCCTGGATCTGGCAGAGGTTAAAAACAGCAAGTACAAGATCTCAGATTTCCACAGACATTTGAGATTTGACAGCAGGAGGGAGGTTTCTGCAGGGAAGGCTCCTGTGGTGGCAATGTGTGCCTGCATGGTCAGACACATAAAAGCAGGTGCAGTGGTCAAGACTCAAACTCACACTGTGGTCCAGCTCTGGGCTGGACAGGCCGGTCAAAACTGCTGGTTTTCAGGCATTTGCTACACCAGGCTGAGGAAGAGAAAGTCAGGGGTTCAGGAAGGGCAGGAGCTGCCTGAATAACATCTGTCTGAGGAGGCACAGCCCAGGCAGGCAGCTGGGTCAGCCACAGCATGACCTGTGCTCTCATCCAGGTTCTAACATCCAACAGCTCTTCCACTGCTGGGCTAATCAGACACCAGCAAACACTGCTGTAAACACTGCTCAGGTGAACAATGGATTTGCTCCAAACTGCAAAGCAGCAGCTATTGAATGCTCCTCGCTCTATGGAAACCCAATTGTATTTCCATTGTTACAGGCAAACAATGGAGCAAGCAGCAGGAGAGAGGGAGAGGAGAACAGGAAATGCCTGGACAGAGACCGCAGATACAACACAGGTGCTCCAACGCTCTGAAAAGCCTTGGTGCAAAGTGTCAGAGTCCAGCTCCTGTATCAAAGCCTGCCAGGATTGCTCCAAAGTACGAGGGAGAGCAGCACCTGCTCTTCACATCATGCCCATGGGTTAAACAAAGGGAATGGGCTTGGCTGCTTGCAGGGAAGAGATGCATCAGATTTAGGAAGACAGGAGACAAAGAAGAACAGGGATGGGAGGAAGGTGCTGAATGGAATTCACTATAGAATACTTGCTCTGCCTCAGGTCAATAAGGAGCAGCATCCAGCCAGGCCACCATGGAGCTCCCTCTGCTTCCACTGCTCTGTCACAGCTCCAGGCACTGCCACCACCCCACTGCCACTGCCTCACCTGGAACAGAGCACTGATACAGGTCTGGTTTGGGGGTAAAATATCCCTGTACATGACTGGACTGCAGCCCTGCCAGGCACCCCTAAACCCCAAATCAGCATCAAGCCCCATCACTAAATAACAGTTGAGATTAACAATGTGAAAATAATTTGGGATCCTACAGAACTGAGATTCCTTAAACCCATCAGGGAAACATGTGGCACCATTTAGAGCTCACAGCCTCCTGCCCTTAATAAAAGGGCTGTACCCATTCAGGTTTGTTTTGGGGTTTTCTTTCATGTATTTTTCTTTATTTTTGTTTTTAAGCACACCGTCCCTGTCTGCTGCACATCAAGGCATTAACACAAACCCAGGTGAGGTGGATGTGCCAACACAGGAGCCCAAAGGGCAGACTTTGTTTTATCTCATGGATCCGGAGCAAAGACAGGCAGGAGTTAGTGTTTCCACAGGTTTATAAATCTGATAAATACAAGTATAACACCCTGCCCACCACAATGGGGCAGGGGAGAAGGGAAGGGAGTCCCAAGGGCTGCTGAGAGAGCATTGGCTTGTACTTGGCATCTGGAGAGTTCACAACAGCTGGAAATTTATGCTGATGTGTCAAATAGCTTCTCAATCATCTCCCCCACCTGGTCCACCTGGTATTTGATGTATTTCTCAGGGTTCTTGGTGAAGGGCACGTTGCCATATCTGCAAAAGAAAACAGGTGACAAACAACTGGAACACAGCAAAGAGACCCAGTGGCCGCTCCTCTGTGACCAATCAGCTCCAGTCCAGCACACCCCACTCGAATGTGACAGAGTATCCTGTACAGAGCAAGTGACCTGGTTACAACTGGCCTCACAAGTTTTACATGAACAACCCAGGGTGGCTCAGGGCTTTGTGCTCACTGACCAAGGAATCAGTGTGACAGCAGATGTCTGCAAATACTCAAGGTCAGCTTGAGGATGTCTGAATGTGCAAAGCAGAGTAGCTAAGACACGACAACAGAAAAGTGGCCTGCTCAGGCTATGCAAGGCCCCAAAGACCTCAACCCAAAGAGGAGGACAGTGCTGCAGGAGGTCTCACCTGTTCAAGAAGGCACCATAGGTCTCTTTCACAATAGTTTTCTGTGCCCGGCGGATTTTGTCCCGTTGCTCCATGTCTGGGATTGCCCAGGCCTTTTGGATCTTACACAGCTCCTCCAGCCCATCATTAAAACCCTGTCCAAAGAGAAACTCAGTGAGCATCCCATCTGCAAGCACATCTCCACACTGATAATCCTTCCCTGCTCTGCTGACCACCAAGAGGTCTCCTCCTCAGGGGATGCTCTGACACCTCCTTACCTTAAAGCGCTCCTTTATCATCTGCCTCTCCTTGTCCTTGAGCTGCAACAAGGAGGGAAAGGATCTTATTTCATCTCCAGAAATAAATACCCAACAGCAGTGTTCGCCCACAACTCCCCATCCAACCTAGGCAATATCCAGTACTTGGTTTGGACTCCCTCTCCTACAGCAGTGAGGAGAGAGATGGAGAAAGCAGCAGACCCTACACTCAGCTGAAGTAGGTTTAACATTTTCAGGCACAACAGACATAAAATAGACTTTTCATGCTTCCAGTCCTTTCCAAGGGAAGGTCTCAGAGTTTAGAAAATCCAAAATAGAGACATCTGCTCAGAAGATTTAAGAATAGAGGCAGATTAAAATACTTGGATGAATCTGGGGCAGGGGAGATCAGAAAGCACTTGTGCCAGCCACAGTGTTCACTCTGCAGAGTGATACTGGCATGAAAATTCTGAGAATTTTTATGACAAAGGAGATGATGTTTCTGGCAACTTCTGTCATGTCCAGCCCATCCTTGCCCACCCTCTCACCTTCACTCCTGGTTGAAAGACAGGCAGGTTTCTCTCCAAGATGTAATCTGTCACCTTCAACCAGCTGCATGTGCATTGAGATGGGAGGGAAGCAAAGAGTTACTCACACCTCTACCAGAGCACCTCTGTCTTCACCCATGACCCAAAGGCCAACTCAGACAATACACATGCCAAAACTTCCCACAGAGACCCCTTCCCAAGTAGGATTAATCACGTGGAAACCAAAAATACTCTGCTGTGGTTTTAAACAAGTTTCTGGTTGAATCACTCCCACTGCTCCAGAAGCACTGGCTCCCAAAGAGCTCCCAAAGTGACAAAAGCAAGGGAGAGGCAGAGGATGTCACTGACCTGCGCTGGTAGGTCTGGATCTGCTGCTCAATGAGCTCCCTGTAGGACCTCTCAGCTGTTTTCTGTGTCACAGCCACCAGCTGGATCAGCTCAGACCTGGAAAAGCAGGAAACCTGAGGAAGCACCTGAGCCAGCTGCTCTCAGGATGGCAGCATTTCAACCTCCTATCAACAAATTCCTTTTAGCCCTTCATAATAAAATGTTCCTTGAAATGTGCAAACTGGGAGACAGAAGCAACTCCGAGTTACTTTCCAAAGCCACATCCTTAATCTTCCCAAGATCAAAGGATTCTCTGAAAACTAAGGCATTTCCTAATGCTTTTATCTTCCACTTTCAGGTAATGTGATGTTTATAATACTGCAAAATCTTCAAAGAGGCAGTTTCAAGGACAGAAGAAAAAGAGACAGGCTGGCAAGTAAATGCTCTCAATGCAGAGCTCTGCTCCAAAACCATCCAATCAGCCTTGGAACTGAGGGAGATTCACTCAAGACACACTTACTTCTCCAGAGATTTCAGAATGTAGTTGTAGTTGTTATGCAGAAAAATGGCACTCAAAGCTGGGTCTTCATAAACCTTGGATTTGCTAAGCAGGTTAAGCTGCAGGTTGCCCAGAACTTTGCCTTAAAGATGGAAAAACAGAGAACAAAAAGTTTTGCACTGAAACTTTTTATTATTGACAAAGCAAACCAAGTTGTGGGCCCACAGCAAAGAGAACAGTACAGGCCTGACTGCCTGTACAAAGGTTACAATCACATGTACTTAACAGTCCTTACACAGATTTTTCTTCAGCAAGTCACCAGAGCCTCTCTGCAAACTACTGCCTTCCATGCCTTGGCAGAGGAGGTGCAGTTTGGGTTCAGAGGAACTCCCAGAACCAGCCACAACACAAGCTCAGCTCTCAGAAGCTGAAGGACCTGATCTTCATTGTAACAGAAAGAGAAATCACTGATTTCACTTTCTTAAACTCCCCTTTGGCAGCTGGGAGCCTTCATGGGGCTGAAGGTGACAGTGATTTAAGGGAACAGCTCTGCAGCACAGTGAGCTGCTGCACTGTGCTTTGTCCTGTTCTACTCTCATAGTCAAACTCCCAGTCTGACCCTTTTTTCATCCCTCCTGTCAGACTCCAGCTCAAATGTGGAAAGATTACATGGAGAAAAGACACAGCCTGTGCTCTTCACGCAGGAATGAGCCCAGTGAAGGAATATCCATGGGGAAGAAGCAGGAAGGTGATGCCTTCTATGGGCTACCTAAAAACAGAGGCTAGGCAAAATTAAAAGAATAAAAAGCAGTTATGTTTATTGCAGGGCCTTCAGGTACGTTTCGGGCAGATGAAGCTCCTCAGGGGCTACACCCAAAAATGGATGATAGGTCATAAGTTTTCATACTTTTATAAGTTTGGTCCATTTGCAAATTGGGGGTTAATCTTCCAGTTACAGCTTCAGGTAATGAAATAATTTACCCTAAATTTGCTCTTCCCCCCAACTCACTTTTGTTTACATTTCTTGGGGCCTGAGACAGTGAGATGTCCTTGATTCCCAGGCTTAGAGAGGAATTGTTTTGTCTGACCAAAATGGGAAACCAGTAGCTAACACTTTATATGGAGGTTAGAGTTATACACTGAAGAATTGCAGGACTGCAAATATATGAAAAATACAAAAGCTGAAATCCTAAAGCATCAAAAGTGTGTACTCACAGATATAGGTGCTCAGCAGCCGCCTGCTGAACTCTGAGCTGTAGCTACTGGCAGAGGAGCTGGTCTCTGAAAAGGAAAGTCTTAGGCCAGTTAACATGCCCTGGGAAGAGGGGGGGGTGTGTGGTCAGCCTGCCCCTATTCCAACAAGCCTCATCCCTGTTGCTATGGAATTAGCTCCCATCAACAGTGAAATCACTCCTGCTTCAGAGCCCACTGTCAGCAGCTCATCCAGGGCGAGGGGGCAAGAGCTCTGCACCCTCAGTCCTTGTGTCAGCATCAAGTGAAGAGCACCCCTATCGCTCCTTTCCTTCCAGGTGCTCAGGGAACATCCTTTCAGAAAAGAGAGTCATTAAACTCCTCCTCCCCATGCTTTTCCCCAGCCTGAAAAGGGTTGGTAAGCACAAGAAATTGGCAATCAGAGAACAATGAGCTGGAGCTGTTAACAGCAAGCACACAACAGTAATTGAAACAAGCAGAAGGGCTCTGGAAAGCTTCAGCCATCCCCATGGTTGCTGACAGGGCCTGCCTGGCTCTAGGAAGGACTGTGCCAGCATGGGAGGCTGCCCCTACAGGCAGCAGTGACTCCAGGCTGGCACATGCTCCTCTGTTTGGAGATGCCTTTCTGCCCTCGAGGGCTTGTGGGCAGGGGGCCCACAAGACACGTGGGGTGGCCACCTCCTCCTGCCCCCTCCAGAGAGTTTGGCAGCCAGACCTAGCTCGGGTGGTCTGAGTTCACCAGCACCCCATGGGAAAGGCCTCGAGGCTCCTGTTGCTGGGAGCTGGACAATGAGGAGCTGAGTGCACATGGGATAAAGCATGACAGCAGCTGGGCCAATCTGCTACCTGTGCCAAAGAGATTCAGTGCCACCACAGTGCCTTGAGCCTGTTTCAGCTCTTGTGGCATCTCTCATTGTCTGCTGCTGACAAGCCCTCCCTATTCTCCCCAGCCCACTGGCAAGGATTATTCACCCTCCCCTTTCCCCCCTTTTCAATTATGTGTTAATTTATTTACAACTGCTGGAGGATAAAGAATTAACATACATCACCAGAGTCCGAGGCAATAAGAACAGGTAGGTGTGGGTAAGTTTGCTTACCTCTGGGATCTAAAGGAATATTGTATGTGTCCCCAAGAACTACAGAGATTAGGCAGAGCAGAGAGAAGAGGGGAGGGATGAGAGAGAAAAAGAAATGCAAAAGTGCAAAAAGACAGGTTAGAGACCACCATTCCTTTGAGAACAAAGCAGATATTAACAGAGCAGCCACAGGCAGGTGCACAGGAGACCAGGCAGGAGTCCCTCCAAGGCCACAAATGGAATGGAGATCACAGAGGAAAGGCAGAGTCCAAGCTCCTTCCCCTGCTGGAGATACGTTTGCATTGTCATTGGCTGCATTTAGCACAGCACCTCATTCCAAATCAGTCCAAACCCGCTTTCAAGGCAAAGCTACCTTAAATCTATGCTGACTTTTCAATCAGCTAAGACAGATTTCACTGCAAGACATGTCAGGACTTCCAAACAGTGCTGACATCACCATTCAGGGGACAACATGGGAAACAGTTGATTGTTCCAAGAAAAATTTCAGACCACTTCTTTGGCCAAGGAGAGAGAGCCAAGGCCCAGAAGGGCTTGAGCACACTGAGCTTGCAAGTGCAAAAGGCACAAGGCAGTGGCTAGAGGAGATGGGGCAAAAGTAGGGACATCTTAGGTTGGGTTGATTTAGAATTTGCAAAAATTTCCAAACAGAACTTTGCAGGTAACAGTCTGGAGGCAGCTCTAGGCTTCTTCCCACCTCTGCTTCTAATGGGCTCTTTAACCCTCTCCAGTCTGTGCCTCCTTAGGGCCTTATGCCCCTTGAATCTCCAGTCTGCTCTATTCCAACCTCCTTGAAAGCACAAGCTCTGCCAAGGCCAAGAGCTCACTGGAGAGCCTGGAGCTGCTGCTCTGCACAGAACCAAGAATCCCACTCCAACTGATAAGCAGCACCACCCTGCTACACGAGCAGTTCTCAGCTTCTGATCTATGCATTTATTTCTGCAGTGAGTCTCTTCAGCAGCCTGGAGAGCAGGACTAAAACTTTTCTCTCTGATAGGATGCACAAATGGCTCCAGAGTCCCACCTTGGCCATGTCTTGAGGCTGAGGAGAATCTTGCTGCTGCTGCTGTTGTACTCTGAGCAGAGGATGGTGCTGTTCACCATACAGAGCCCAGCTGGAGCAGCCACCCTCACTCCAGTACAGTCACACAGCACCAGGCCAGGGCCACACTTGGAGCTAAATGACCCAGGCATCCTCTCTCAGAGCACACAGACAGTAAACACCATCCTCATTGTATCTGCCAGGAGCAAGTGTGGAAGGCCAGCAGGGAACTCTGCATCCCTTGGAGTTCTCCAGACAATCAACTATGTGGTCAAGGCAGATGGGAGGACAAGACAAACCACAGGGTGAAGGATAGGAGGAGAACAAGCTCACAGTGCATGCTGAGGTTTGATCACTTCAGGGAAGATGTCCAGGGAATCTAAGGAAGGAATTGCATGCCCAAGCAAGCCCCATGCATGTACATACCTTGTGATGCCAGCATAGCACCTGCTGTCTCCTGGAAATCCAGTAACTGCTGCAGGAAAAGGATGGCCTGGAAGCAAGAGAGGGAATTTAGGAGCAACCAACATTACATCTCCTCTGCTCTGCTATTAAGGATCATGAAGCACCACTTGTCTCCCCACACTTACAGGCATTCAAGAAACAAATCACTACACTCCTCTGAACTGCTGAGTTTCTCCCACACAGTCCTGCCATGGCTGAGCAAGGGTCACCAGCTCATCCTGCCATGGAAACCAGGTACTTGTGTAATTGGTAATGCCAAGACACCTTAATTTAGGAAGTTCCCCTACTGCTCTTTTCAGAACTCCTTCAGAAGCTGTTTTCCACAAAGAATGGTTCAAATCATCATCACGTACATTGCTGGTGAGTTCATGAACTGTCCCATCTTTTGGCATGTTGTATTCCTTGTCTGGATCATTCTGAAAAGGGAAGAGAGAGACATAAGATGAGCATCTAGAGGGAGACACCTACAACAGAACTGCTGCTACAAGTGATCTGAAGGCTTCTCCATCCAGCCACTCCCAACACCCTCAGGCCCAGCTCTTGCAGTGCCATCTCCTGGTGCTCAGAAACCAGAGCTGCCAGGCACCAGCAGCTCAGAACCTCAGGGCTCTGTTCAGCATGTGACCATCACACCTTCAGCTCATCCACCATTCACCAAGCCCACCTTACACAGGAACAGCTTAACATGAGTCCTCCAAAACTTTTCAAGGCAGCAAACTTCTTTTCTTTTTAAATAGGATTAATTCTAAGATAGACTTGGTATCTGTAGAGGCTGGATGCTTGTGTCCAATTATTTGTAGTGTGCCTGTTAAGGATCTCAGGCTAAGGCCTTCTGTGTTTGAAACCAGCACCAAGCATTTGGTATTTGACTGTCCCAAGCAATCCAAGTTCCTGGTTCAGTCAGGTCTCATGGAAAGCTGGAAGGTAAACTAGGGGTTTTGCTCCAAAAAAACTCTCTTACAAGCTTGATCAGAGACCACTGAGGAGAATCCTACCTTAATGTTGTCTGCAAACTCTTCCAGTGCCTTTGCACCAGTGGTCTCCATAGAAGTGATCAGCCCTGGCAGTTTGTTCTTAGTGCCTGCTGCAGTTCCCTGGAATAGTTCCACAGTAGATCAGAAAAAGAAAACAAATAGTACCTGAACTTCTATCCAGCACCTACCCTCCCTCATCTTCCACCCCAGCATCTCATTCTCAGCTCCCTATATAACAGAAGAATATTTATAGCACCATCAGCAACACATGAAACCCCATATTCTCCAGGCAGAAAGGGAAGATGTCATGGTGGTCCATCGGGGTCAGGACTTGAAGTGAAAAGAGCTGCTGCTGAGAGATGCTGAGTTGCTGGTTTACCAGAAAGGAGCAAGGTGCATTTGTGTAACTGCAGTCCATGCTTGGGGACAGAAGCAGCATGGCTTTGATCAAAGCCACTGTGACAATCCGTTTCAAAAAATTCTCCAGATAACACAAGCCACAGGACCCTCTCCAATCCCATCACATTTACCTGCAAGACCTGGTCAAATTCTGGCTTCATCTGCTTGAGATGCTTGAGGATGGGGAAGATTGTGAGCACAGCTGAATAGTCGTGTCGGATGATGGCTTTGCGGGCAGCTGAGACAATGTTATCACCCTCCATGATCAAATTATCCAATGACTCCTGCAACAAAGCCAGAGATTCATGAAAAAGGAACAAGACTTGTGCCCAGGCAGCACAAAGGACTCAGTGCACGACACCCATTCCAAATAACCATTTGGCTGACGTGTCATTTGTGCTACCAGTGAGGGACTCTGAGTACACGTTCTCCAGGCTCTCTGCAGGCCCTGGTTCCTTCCACAGGTCCTGGAGGACAAGCCAGCATCCTTTGCAAGCACAGAGGCTCAACTGACCTGGATGAGAGAATCAAAGGTCTTCTTCTGGTGGTGCTCTGGGACAATTTCTGTCAGGAGCTGGTATTCACTCTGGGCCAGTTTGACAAAGGCACTGACGCAGTGGATGTACGCGTCGATCTCGATGTCGAAGACGTCGTCCCTCCCTGCAAGGGCAAGATGCCTTTGGTTTACACAAGGAGCACGAGGTTCTTCTGGGAAATTTGGTTCTGGCTTTGCACCCACATCCATGTGTGAGAACAAGAGTCATCTTCTCACCACTCCTGCCCAGGGTTTGTGTGTGGGAATCTCTGAGTACCCTGCAGGAGGCAGGAAAAGTCACCCACAGTTCAGGAAATGCACATCAGGGCACCACCTCTTTCCAGCCTCGTGACAGAAGGGAAGTTTGGAGCTCTTCTGGGATACAGACTAAATTTAATCAAGGGCTTGAACACAGAGTACTAAACTCAGGAAGGTCTGAGGTGAATTATTCAATATCTCTGCTTGTATTTTTAGAATTCCTTATCTCCATCCGTCATGTAGATGAAGAACTGCCATTTGGCATCAACATTTCTGGGAAATAAAGGCTGTCCTGGAAGGCAGCTTCTTCCCACTTGCAGAAACAAGATAAAAATCAGGCTGATGAACATTTACATCCTATGAAGCAGGAATATCAGCACAGCTAGGTGAGTTATCTGCCACACAGTGCTGCATACAAATGCAAATATCTGAGTCCTAGAATATGAATGTCTCGGTCAAAGATCCATCAAAGATCCTCCATGGTAGGCATGAGAAGTGATACAAGGGCCAGCACCAACTCATGCCAACCACTGCTGGATGTGTCTGCAGGACAGACACAGACAGACCCCATCCTGCAAGAGAGTAAGATGACACAGAGAGGCCTTCTCTAAGCTATAGGCTGCTGCTTCTCTCATCCCAGAGATTTTTGATGGAAGAAGAACCAGTTCTTCCCTATGCTGACAGGTTCCTCAGGTTGATATTTCAAAAGTTTTGGTCAGAGGACATAGAGACTGCCTGTGGTGCAGTGTAGTGTGTGCTCCACTTTCCTGCTTGCTTTGCTTCAGCACTCAACAGACCAGCAGCCACCTACAGGAGAACGTCCCTCAGCATGGTGACCTTTGTTAGGTTCCTTGTCTGAAGGCTTGGGGGGGCTGTGATTATAGGAGGGAATTGTACAGAGAAGAGCCAGAGCTTCTTAACCAGAGGAGGCTCATGCTTCAGGACTGCCCATGGGGAGGAACAGCCCTGAATACAACACAACATGGAACAGGCTGGGAAGCAGGGGGGACCAGCTGGTTCCCAGTGCCAACCAGTACTTACCCACAGCCGGCCCGTGCTTGTCGCTCAGGGCATCGGAAAGGTGCTTAACGCGTAAGTCATGCTCATGACCTAGTGAGATGGCAGCCGCACAAACAGAAGGCGCAATTTATCCAGGGTGGTCACAGCAAGGATGCTCACTCTGGTTGGAAGTTGCTTCAAGCCTGGTTTATTTGATCTGGTGGATATCTTTTTCCCTACAGTCCCAGGAATGCTTCCTGACCAAATCCTTTTGTTGGGCTATATAGCAGTAGCAACCCTTTGAAACCTGATGAGAAGTTGATTCTTGGACCACAGGAGTCCCTTGAACCTCCTGCAGTATGTTCTGAATGGGATTGCAGGCATCAGAGTCCAATTTTTACCCACAACCATTAAAAATCCAAACTCAAAGCCCCTCTCCTGCTCAGCATGAGCATTTTCCCTCACGTGGGGTTTAGCAGGCTACAGTAGAAGTGCTGAAGAGACCTGCTTAGGATGGATTCATAGCAGGAGGCAGGAATGTCTTAGAGATGCTTTGAAGCATCTTCTCCCTTATCTGGCACAACCTCTAGGAGCAGAGGAGGTCAGAAAACAGGAGACAGCCATTTAGGCAGGTCTGCACAGAGAAGATGTACAGGCACAATGCACTGAACTACCTGTGGTCCAACACTTCAGCATCAGGTTTGGAAAAGTCACTAGGAAACTGAATGTCTCAAAGTCCAGACAAAAAGAAAAGAGAACAGGAACACCACAAACAGATGTCAGCAGAGCTTCCATTACCCAGGTGGCTGTGGTGGGTCAGTGTCAAGGTAACATTCCTCTCCACCCCTACTCATGCTTACAGAGACTTTGAAATTCAGATAGTAAATTCTGAATAAATAGAATAAATAAACCAAAAATAATGTGGTCCTCCAGCATCTCCTTGGTTCCCCAATCCCATGCTGTCCACCAAGCACTGAACTAATGGAAGCCCCACCTGGGAAAGCAAGGCTGATACACAGAGAAAGTCAAGGGTGAAGTAGCTTGAGCTGTGATTACCTTCCATAGGAATGAGGTTAGAGGCCCCCTTTTTCCCATCTAGACCATGCTGAGAGTACTGTTTCAGAAGGTTCTGAGCCTTACGGATCGTGCCTGTCACCAGAACCAGAGACAAGAGACAAGAAGACCTAGAAAATGAGTGAAAGAAAACAAACCCAGAACACCAGCCCTCCACCAATAAGTCACCTGGGCCCAGCAAGAGGATGCTGGGCAGCAATGAGGATGCTCAGCACAGGAATGTGAACCCCAAACTCGTGTCCAAGTGTGCAGATACAATGGTATTTCCAGAATGTTTCCCTGCTTTGAAGCTGGGGGCATAAATTCCAGTCAGGGATACAGAATCAGTTTGGAGACACAGCATGGCATGGCTGGGTGATATACACAACCAGAGAAGGGAAGGCATGAAGCTCCCTTCTCTGTACTGGGTTTATTGAAGTTGGTGCTCTGCATCCAAGCACACAAGGTTTGCTGCTTTTCCTCAGCTGTGGAAGCAGGGCTTTGCATACAGACAATTCCTGTCTGGCAACATGCTGCCTGCTCCTCGGAGCCACAACTGCAGTCACTCAGTAAGAGGTGCCTTTCTGAGGGGTATTTTCTGAGCATAATCAATAAAGACCCACCGGGAGCCCCAGAGCCAAGATAAGGAATGGTACAGGAAGCAGTAAAAGGGTGACAACCTCTGGGCTTTTTTTGCAGCAGCAACTCCCATCACAGGAATCCCAGAATAATGGATGCTGCCCACCCATGTCTAACTTGCACTAAGCCACCCTAATCCCCAAGACACTTCTCTTCTAAAGAACTGCAAATCAATTAAAACCATGGAAAAAAAAATAACACTGGGTTAAAAGATTTATATTTTAAACACACAAAAACCAGACAGAACTGAACAAAAGGCAGTGCTGGATATACAGCTGGAAAGCACAAAACAAAGCATTAATGTGACAACTGAAGCCTAGGCAGTGTTTCCACATTAAAAGGTTAGTTGTCATGCAACAAGCTACAATTATCTCAAGCACACCGACACCCTCTCAAAGCAGAGCTTTGCTGTTGCCTGCACAACAGGGAACTGGAAGTTTTGGGAAGGTGGAAGGGGTTTCTATAGGAATCCCAAATGAAATAGAGCTGGGCTGAGTAAATGAAGAAGCCAAAAACATAAAAATGCTGCTGCTAAAATTAAGAACTGTTCTTCTGCTATAAAGAAATAAATGCTTCAAACATGCAGAAGATCTCAGCTTCAATGACTAGCTGTGAGCCACAGTGCAGCCTGGAAATGAGTGCTGGCTGCCCAAATACTGAGGGGAGCCCAAATACACAGTGCTGCAGAACAACAATCCAGGGTGCAGGACAGCTTCATCCCATAAAGGGATTTATGGCAAGGGAAAGGAAACTTTCCCCGACACAGTGGGGAAGAACATGAGAGAGAAGTTCCCTTTGAATTACCAAACTGCCTTAACCTGGTGCACTTATGGGCTCCCAAACATGGTTCCCAAAATGTAGTATTTCACTGATAAAATTGTCCTTCTAGCACTTCAGAGTGTTCTCAACTGTTTTGTAAAGAAAAAAAAACTTATCCATGCAACACTTCTAGCAAGAAACTTCTCCCCTCTCGACCCACACCAGGGAGATGGGAAGTCTCACACCCTTGCTGGCTGATGCATTGCTCCCAAGCTTCTGCCATATGATCAAATGAGGGCTATGCCTCTTCTTCCAAGCTTCCTGATGCTATTCACACCCCAGATCTCCACTTTATTCTTAGCTACTTCCAGAAACCTCAAGAGTTTGGGCACACCAGCAAGCTCCTCTGAGCAAGGAGGGCTCTTCCTTATTGCTGCTCCCATGGCCCAGCAGCTGCAGAGCAGCTCAACTCAGGTACTGTTCTTCCACCTGTTCTTTCATCTTTCCAATTTTCAAGCATTTAGGGGGAGGGAAAAAATACAAGGGAATAAAAATAGAGGGTGAATTGGTGTGAAAACCAAGCAGACAGTACAACTGCTGCTGCTGTCAGCAGGCTCTCACTCCATAGGTATGCAGCAGATGTTTGCACAGCCCACACTTGATGGTTTCTTCTCTTTTTCAATTTTTTTCCTATTTTTCTCAGTTTCAGGAGCTGATTATGCTGGATTTTATTTGCATAAGCACAATTACCTGTGTTTACTGACACACACTGAGTGTTCAGTGTCCAAGGGCATCACTTCAGTGCTGCTGGATCCCTCTGACTTGGCTTCATAATTAGGCTTTAATGGATTCTGGTGGAAGCCAAATGCTTTTGTTCCAGGATTGTTTTCCCCTATTAAGCAGCTCCCTAACCAAATGGGACTGTGTTTCAGCTACTAATGAAAACATCACATTCAAGCCAGGCAGTGATCAGTCTGAGAAACAGGAATGGGCTCTTTATTCTGCCACTCAACCTGCCTTTAGGTACCACCTCACCAGAGCTCTAAGGAAACTGGAAAAAGAGCTCCCCTGTAATCTGAAAAGAGCCTCCAAAGGTCAAAAAACACCTGAAACCTTTGCTTCTGTGGCCCAGTTGTTCTATAGAGTGGGGTTTGGGCATGCATGAGACGTTTTTCCAAATGCAACTCATACTGTTGTTTCTCTCTTCCATTAGGCAGTTTTCTATCTAAGCAGGAGGGCAACACATCCTCTCTCCACAAGCACCAACTGCAGCAATCTGCATGAAAACAGACAATGCTCTCTGGCTTTTGTAGGCAGCCAGGCCAGGTGGCCCCATCCTTCCCCAAAATTGCAGAGCTGTTAAGCTGCCTGTGGCTCTCAAGCCACAAGACAGCACAGGGTCTACAGGCATCACAAAGAAATTTAATTTTATGCACATATGTTTGCAGCAAGATGATTTGGGAACCTGAGTACACCTGCTCTCTGAGAGGGAATGCTGACATTCCAAATAGCAAACTAAAACCAAAAAAAGCCCACAGATCATCAGCTCAACTTGACCTGTCAAGTGTCACTCAAGAGGAAACAACTCTGCTTTAGAAGCATCTCCAGCAGTCAGATTTTTAACTGCATGATGTAACACAGGAGACAGCACGGGGCACATCAACAGGAACAGAGAGATGAAGACTCTCTGAAACAACACATGGATATGGAGCATGTTCTTCAGAATTCAACACAGTCCCTGGGGCTATCTCTGCCTTGTTGCCCTGCCCATAATATCTCACCTTCCCTTTAGTCTCTCTTGTGCTTTTATTTTGTGGTAAAAAAAAGCTACAGCACATCAGATTTAGTTAGTTATTTACCCCTTGCAACAGGTTAAAGTGTGCATTGGGGTGTGCACTGGGATATTCTTCCTCAAGGACCAAGGAAATCAAGTCTCTTGTTGGAACTGTCAGAAAACCCCTTTGTCTGAAACCCAGATTGGCAGAACTTGACTTTACTCATTGAAATAAAGTAACAGAACAGAAAAAAAACCCCTTTGTCCAAACTGAACAAAGGCTAAACCCAGCGGACTCAAACACTACCAGATCATGTTGCTCTGAAGAGAGCCACTGTGCCAGTGTGAAGATGGTGTGAGACCTCCACCTCAAGAGCTGTACTTGAAAGTTAATGGAATTGCAGAAAAAACAGTGAATCTCTGCCTAAAGACTATTTTTCCCCATTTGTAATTTCACTTAAGTACAATTCAGCAGTCATAAGTGATGGCTGGTGTATGAGATTCAACATCCACTGTCCTTCAGGAGCTACAGTCTGGTTGCCTGTCTGCTTCATGGAAGATTGGAGACAAATGAGCCACTATTTTTTCTTGACATTACAATAACCCAATGGATCACTTGAGACACTCTTTCCTTCATGCACCATCAGCTCTGTAGTGCATTCAGACCATGCTCTACCTGCTCCATCTCACAAAATCCAATTAAACTGGGCCATAAAGACATGAAAATCTTCTGGCACATCTACAGCTAAGACTTTCCTCATGACAGTCATTTTGGATGCCCAAGTGCATCCACTTTGGAGGAGTCCTGTTTGTTGGAACTTGTGCTCTCCAGCGTGTGGGCTCCTCTCTATGGAGTATCCAAGATCTGAGACTCTCTTAAAAAATCCCTGGGATTTTTCAATAATCTGCCCATGAAAACCAAGTATCTGGCCCATCCCTGACTCTCTACCTAAGAGCACAGGGGAGGAGATACTATCACTTGTCAGGCTGCTCAGAAATGTTTGCTGACCATGCTGAATTCACAGCAATAAAAACACAGGAATCTTTTGCAGAATCAGCTGATAACTGAGAAGTGTCAACCAAATCTGAAGCATCTGCAACCTGAGCTTCCCATGGCTCAACTATTGGCACCTTTCAGTGCCTCTGAGCCTTATTAGGTGGTTCTCTGCTGCCAGGGGAACATTCACTGAAATTCACAGACCAATTCCATCAGCTTTCAGGGACAGCTCCAGGGCACAGTGGCAATGACAGAGATGGATTTTAAAAGACTACAGGGGTAATGTCTGGATGACACAGCCTTCCCCAGGCAGCCCTCCCTCTCCAAATATCCCAGGCACACCCTCTGCTGTAGCAAGAAGAGGCCCAGCAAAGCCTCTCCACACACAGAAGTGAAGAGAGTGAGCACCAGGGCCAGCACACACACACATAGACACACATTACCTGGGATGAGGACTGCATTCACATCAGGATTATAAAAATAAACACAACACAATTAAAATGAGTATTTCTTCTTCCTCTCTTTCCCCATCCCATCCATTCCCAGTTTCTTACTATTACCCCCATTTCTTACTATTTTCCTGAACCCACAAAGAGTATTTGGACAACACCGGACAAAATAGGGAAGAAGGGCATTGGCCAGGTAAACCTACAGGAATATGAACTTTTCTGATGTGATCACTGTTACAGAGGACACCACAGAATGCTGGGTCACAGAGAATTAATATCTCTGTGCTGGCTCTTGCTGTCCCTCCTGGCTGTCTCCCGCTAGATGGCACATTCCAGAGATGGGGAACTCCAGTCCTACATTCCCAAACTCCAGAGTGACCAATCTCACCAGCTGCACCAAATGCAGCAAAACTGCATTGGGAAGAGAGGAGGAATAACCCTCCAGCCACATTCATAGCTCTTCCCAAGAAAGGCTGAGGCAAGAGCTTTAAGAGCCCTTCTAAACTTCTGACAATGTTGTATCTCATTTTTATAGGCACCTACCTAATCCCCATCTCAACTCCTGGAGGCGTCTTGCTTTCTAGCACAATAATAATTTATTCATAGCTAATGATGGAAGTGAGGTGTTTTATCAGATATGAGCTATTTGCTGTGGCACGGTCTATATTCCATATGCCAAGGCTGAGGATTTGATCTGAGTTCTCAGATCAAATCCTTTTACAGCCCCCTCAGGTCTCTTTTTACTCATCTCCTTTGTTAAGGTCTTTCCTCTCCCCATACACAGGGCCTTTCTCCTCCCTTTACAGCACCCACAGAACACAACTGATGGCTTGACAGACAGACAGAGCCTGTAATCCCAATGCTGACTCCAGAGCAGAGAAGTGCTTACCTCTAAAATCTCACCTAAATGTCCTACAAACACATTTTAGAGATACCTCAGCAATGCGAAGGCCTGAAGATGTGTTAATACCCAGTGCAGTGATCCCTCCTCAGGGACTCACCTGGTCTCTTGATTGGCTTTTTGGTGGGGGTGTCCTTCCTTTTGTTCTGAATGGCAGGGGAATATGGCACCCCAGAGGAAGAGCTGTTCTTACGGAAATGGTCCTTCAGCCCCTTGATGGAGCGGTCGAGCTGCACTGAGCGGATTTGGAAGTAAACTGTCATGAAATCTGAGGAGACAAGGTAAAAATGAGATTATAAGCACAAAGGGAACACTGTATGGTAAAGCAGACACTTTGTGCCCCTGCAGGGAGTTACAAGCATTGGTGTGGGATCCAAAGTCAGCATCCTTCCCTCTCAGAGCCTCTCCTGTTTTCTTCAGAAACTTCTTCACCCTTCCTCTGCAATCTTCATTCCAGCCTCTCCCATCACACACAACATTAATTCCACCACTACTAACTCCAGTTCAAGTGGAACTGACAGGAGATATTTGTGCAAGACATTGTCAATTCAAGTGCTCAGTTTCTAGCATGAGAGACTTTACACACTTTTCAGGATTCAGGGCACTTGGGAATTTAATGAGGTGCTCATCACTTGAAAGCAGAATGCAAACTGACTAATAAAATATGCTCTATATGCATGAGTTGCCTTTGATCATGGAAAAATTCTTAAGAAGCTTTTAAGGACGTTCATCATACTTGGTAAGCACAGTAATCCCCCCCTCAGGAGTAAATCATTGAGGCAGGGGGTGATTCTTGGAACTGCAGGAATGTGAAAGTTCACATTTCCTGTACAAGTCTACAAAGTCACTCAATCCTGAAGGAAAAGTTAATAAAGGATTGGAAAGGAGAGACGTATACAGAGTGAAGAAAGTCTGTGCTGCTTTCCCCCTGCCCTTGGTCATATTTCATACAAAGAGTTCTGGTCATAAATATTTCCCAAATGGGAATAAGTGCCCAGTGTCTTGCACATTTATAAAACCTGAGCACTGGATAGCTGCAGCTTCATCTGAAGGCATTACAGGAGCAAGTGCAGTGAATTTTTGCTACAGGACAGACTGCATTGACATAATTTGTGCTTTGTTTACCTAGCTCATTCTGTTCAACTGACAAACCATTGCTTCAGTCTCACAACAAAAAAAGCAGAATCTTCAGGTGCTAGAAAGACTGAACTACTCAGCTAAAAGGTGTCACTAAGGCATCACTCATCCTGCTAGTGCTGCCAGATGCTCACAGGGAACAGGCAGCAGCACCCACCTTGATTCCTGCCGTTCTCCACCAGCCAGCCCGAAATGCGGATGATGTCGTGCAGGACACTCTCTGGGAGGTGCTCCAGGGACATCTCCTCCTGTGTGTCCATCTCCTCATCCCCACTGATCAGGTCCAGGATGAGGATGGGTGGCACTGGCTTGGTGTGTCGTGTCATCAAGCTGCGGAACTCCGATTCCAGGGATTCCTTGCCCCGCTCAAAGAGGGATTTCTGGCACAAAACAGCAGGACAGAAGTAGAACAGGACTTCTGTAATCAGTCACTCACGAGTTATTTTTGCATAAGAACATCCTTCCTAATCACTGTCAAAAGGCTTCAAACTCCAACCATGTTCAAATTCAGCCTGTATCTGAAAGACTTTTAAAGTGAATTAAATTTAAAAAATGCTTGGGAGTTGTTCAAGTGGGATTTAAACAGATCACCCATTCTGCTCAAGCAGTTGAAGGACTGACAAGAGCTGCTCAGGAGGAGGTTCAATCAACTCCTCCTCCACAGGTGCAAGAGCTGCTTTCAGAATCCTCCTGGCACAACAGAGAGAGAGCAAAATGCCAGGAGCAGAAATGCTGCCCAGTACAGGCTTAAACAGAAACCAAAGCAATCATTCCTTCAGCTGAGCCCAAACACCACCTTCCCCAGGCAGCAAACCCAGCAGGGGACAGGCAGCAGGGCTGTGTCTGTCCCCCTCTTATCCACAGGTTCCAGATCCATGACCCACCACACGGTTCAGCTCGGGGCTGTCCGGGTTGTTGTCCTGGAAGTACTCCACTGCCTTCTGGATTTTGTCCATGCAATTCAAGTATTCCTCCAACCTCCCCGTGGGGCTAAAAATAAAATCAGAAATAAAAAGTAGTGTCCCAAGAAGTAAGCAAAAAAATAACAAGAAAACACTGGACCAGACTCAGGATAAAAATAACAAGGAAAATCTCAATCTCCTTTTCTTCAGCAGAGAAGAGATACCCAACCCACACAGCAAGTGCAGAAATATTGATGATGGAGCAGCACACAATTCTCAGTCTTGCTTTCCTCTCCCAGACAGGCTCTGATGGGAAGGCAGAGGGAACTGCACATCCCAACCCAGGCAAGAGCCATTCAACACCCTCCCAGACAAGGAGGCTCCAGAACAGTCTGGTACATCCTGGATGCAGTAACAACCTGAATGGGCAGGGAAAACCTTTGGGAAAAGGGCACAGGAAAACAGGGAAGCCACCAGGGCTCATGGAGATTGCTATGGCAGCACCTCTGCAAGATCTGGAAGAGATCCCAATGCAGATTCTGAGCTGTCTTTGCCCTGTGGGAACGGCTGAAGGTCAAGTCAGTGTGGACTGGGGATGAGGAAAGAGTGTGGGAAGGGTACCAAGCACACCGTGGGTGTGTGCAGTCAGCTCCCCCACCTCTACCTCAAAAATCCAACAGGATGAAGCTCCCAGCAGGATCTATCTGCTCAACCCACCCTTCCTTGATGATCTTCTCCGTGTCCTTGGCCACATGGTAGTAACTGATGACGTGATCCAGGCAGGACAGGGTCTTCTCCACATTCTCCTGCAGGCGCTGCAGGTTCTCTGTCTGTTTATGGACAGGGATGATGGAGTTCTCCAGCTTCATCAAACGGCTCTCAAAGGAGGAGAGGATTGAAACCTACACACCAAGAAAGAAACCAACAGCTGAGGACTTCCTTCCTGTGGGGTAGGAGTTACAGCAGGGAACTCAGGGATCTTCAGGGCCTAGCTTTTCTTTTTGGGCTCTGCTGCTAATTTTCTATGACTCCTTAACAGTTGTTTCCATCCCTCTATGTCCTGATTTTTATTAACAATCACAAAACAGATCACCTGCCATATAGGGATGGGCCAATCCCAAATTAAATGCCTGCAAAAAGTGAAGATAATGTTTCAAGACAGTATAAAGGACAGGCAAAATTTTATTTGCCAACAGAAAATAAAGCCACAGGAAATGCCTGGAGGTGCCCCATGTAAAAAAAGCAACAAAAGCACAAACCAGAAGCCCCTTTGCTCCACACCACTGAGACCCAAAGAGGAGCTGCACAAGGACCAGTCCAGTGAGAACCTTATTTTCCACCAAAGACATTTGGATTTTAAACAGGATTGTGATAGCACTTCTGACAGGTGGAAAACCACAGCAAGCTCATAAAAAGGTGCCTCAGTGTCATCTTCCCTAGGCCAAAAGGTAATTCCTACAAGATTCACTCCTATGTCATGTTTTCCACACTTCTCTGGGGGTGCCTCTGTGACTTCTTTACAGCACTGAGACCAAAACTGGACACAGTATATAAACTGAGCAATTACAACATAATAATTACTTTTTACCTTTCCACAGAACACTCGCAAAATAAGACTCCAAACAAAACCCGGATTTTGAAGCAACAACATGATGCTGTTGCACAAACTAGTCTGAGGCTCCTTAATACCTTTTCCCCAAGAGAGGGCTAATTGTAGCAGAGATGAGGCCAACAGCTCATCTGAGCCCTCAGCAGAGCAGGACAGAAGCTCAGTATTGAAGCATTTCTCAGGTTTCCCATTTGCCCAGTCACTGAAGCCCAAAGTGATTCATCACTCCACATCCCTCAGGTAAGCAAAACAACAGCCTTGAAAAGTAAAAAACGTAAAAACCTAAGAAAAAGTAAAGCCAGGCCCAACATTAGGACCTCCCTACCATGTTCTTGGTGAGCTGGTCACTCTTCTCGAGGCTCTCTTTGATGAAGGACAGAGTTTCTTCTTCCTGTGAGTAAGACGAAAAAATACTCTTAAATTCTGAACACTGAGGTTTAAGTCACTAAACATTATATGTAGGTTTTTACCAATCTTGTAAACTCTGCTGCAAACCGTGTTTGGTCTGATGCTGATTCTGCAGCCACATTTTAATATTACCACCTCTTAAGAGAAATCAGGGCAAGTAATCCAAGGTGAGGACACACCGTGTAATGAATGAGGGGTTTATTAATTCGCTATTTCCCTTCAATGCCAGGAGTGTCAGCACAATACAAAATTAACACCTTTCCCACTGAGGCACAACGACTCAGAACACACATTTCTCTGCCACAGCACAATACAGGTGTTGCACTGGCACCTTCCAAATCTGCCAGGAACTCAAGTGTCCAATGCAAAGCAGCCACCAAGGGATGGTTTTAAGTCATTAAAGCCCACAAATGGAGGGGAACAGCAGCCCAGAAGGGCTGGCTTAAAGTCCCCAAAGCCCACAGGTAGAGGAGGGATTGCAGCCTGTCAGGGCTGGTCTCACAGGCTGCACCCGAGAACCTGACAGGAGAGCCCACAGATCCTGCCAAGAACGAAGAGGGAAAGCCCAGGCCCAAAGTGGGGAGCAGAGATGCCCCGACTCTACAAACCAGGCCTCGAAGGGGGCCTGGGGGTGCTCCCAAGCCAGGAGGGGGTGACAAGAGCCTTGAGGGGTCCCGGGACGCCCCCAGGCCCGGTGAGGACCTCTAGACCCAGCCTCGTCTCCCCGGCAACGCCAGGGGGCTGCGGGCCCAGGCCCAGCCCCCGACCTCGGCAGCGCCTGCAGAACGTCCCGAGCTCAATCCCACCTGCTTGAGCTTGTCCTCGATCTCCCTCCTGCGGGCCGACACCTCCTCGCTCGGGATCATCGCGCCGGAGCCGCTCCGCCGCTCGCTCCCACCGCGCCCGGCCCGTCACTGCCGCGCCGCCATGATGGGCGCGGCGGGGCGCACCGGGCATGCGCAGAAAGTGCCGCTGCCATCTTGAGAGTGGCGCAGCTCAAGGAGGGCCCTAGAAGTGGCGGGGGTGACAGCGCGTGCGCACTGCTCTGCGAGCGGCCATGTTGGGAGTGGCAGGAGGGGCGCGCCGCCATCTTGGGCGTGGCGCGATGGGTCACGGAACCACAGGATCAATTATTTTGGACTCCGAGATCATCGAGTCCAACCCGTGCCCCAACACCACCCTGTCAAGCAGACCATGGCACCGAGTGCCACGTTCAGTCTTAAACTCTGTCTTAAACAGTGACAATGTCAGTCTTAAACAGTGACTTCCTCACCTCCCTGGGCAGCCCTGTCTAAATCACAATTTTTGTGAAGAAATTCCTCTTAATTTCCAACCTAAACCTCCCCTGGCACAGTTTGAAACTATATCCTCTTGTCCTGAGCGTGGCACTGTTGCGTAAAATTTTCTTAAGAGAGGATGTTCCTTGATGTTTGATCTTTGTGTACTTTCAAACCTAATCAACAATGAAGGAGATTTAATCCGTGAAAAACACAATAGCCAACAAATTCTAAGTGATGTCCAGGTGTTAGAAAAACAAATTGCTTATTGGTAGAATTGCCTTGATAATGTTTAGATTTTGACATTTTTAAATTATCTCAGACTTATAGGTACGTTAACAAAGCTTGGAAAGAAGGATGTACTACTGATAATGGGCACAAAGAATGTAGAATTTATGGGCTACGAGGACATTTGGCAGAATCTCCAAGATAAGAAGGAAACTTATAAAACCAGTTCAGCAATTGGGCTGAATCAGCTCCAGCTGAGAAACTGTAATTCCAGCAGGGGCAGATCCAAGAAACCCACTAACCCAAAAGAAGAGAAAGACTAAGCACGTGCACTAATTAGCATGGGAAGTGATAGAATAATTTCCCAACAGAAGATAGAATAATAATTAATAAGAGAACTATGTAACTTGTAGCCAATTAACACAAATTCCTCTGTTTTCTAAAATGTGTAAATAGTAAAAGGCTTTGATAGTTGTCATGGCTTGGTTTGTGGAATCTCAACAAGCACCCAGGCTTGTGCCACTCTGAAATAAATAATGTCTCTCTTGAGGGTGTCATAATTGGCTTATTGCACTGGGAGTAACAAATCCAAATTTGTGCACAACAGATGTGGAGGGAGAGTGCAGGGGTTTGAGCTCAGGGAAGTGAAATTAGAGAAACCTGAGTGTGGATTATGTCAGCCCACTGTCCTGCATCCACTTTCTAGGGAGAAAGGTTATCCCGCAGGGGACCTGCCCCTGGTCCCTCCCGCAGCACAGAGGGGATGGTTGAGGGTTTCACACACTGGGGGCTCTTCTTGCATCTCCCTGACCCACACCAAGCCCGGAGCAGGGAGCTGCTTCTCCAGCCCCTGCAGGCTCTCCAGCCCCAGCTCCCGCTGTCCCGTTCCGCTCCAAGGGTCCTGCCGTGCCCAGGGACCGGCGTGTGCCCATCTGTCTTCCCCCTGTCAAACCACCTCAAGCTCCAGAGAGAAGCTCTTTTTTTATTCAGCAATGGATTTCACAACGCACCCTCTCCTGCTGCCCATGGATGTGCCCAAGCTCTGGCTCTGGTTTCCCTGTGTGGCCATAACCGCCTGCCTGTGTTTTGTGGTAAAGGGAGTAATTCCCTGATAAAGGGAATCTTGAGGGTATAAGAGAGAAGATTCCAGTCCAGGCTCAGCACCCAGCACTTTTTGAGCTTCCTCACACTGGGCTGGTGTGAATGGGAAAGATCTTTTTCCCTGAATAGCAGATGCATCTCTTTCTGTAGAGCATTCCATGCTCTTTCTGCCAGCACTCACCCCCTCATTCAAATGGCAGCCAGAGCCAAAAGGAACCTCCCTTGGGGAGCAGTTGTGTGTGTTTCACCCAATAATGCTGTTTGTTTCCTGAAAACCTACCAGAAAGGCTCCCCCACCCTTTATGGAGCCACAGCCCCTTAGAGCAAAGTCGGATAGATACACCCACCCCACATGACAGCTGTGTGGGGTGATAAGGAGTGAATAAATGTACAGAAACAAATGCAGAGCATTGTGTAAAAACTGCCGGTGAGGTGCAGCACCACATCCAGGAGGAAGCAGCAGGGAAAAAAAAAAAAAAAAAAAAAGTGCTGGTCAAACGTAAAGAGTCCAAAGGGTTATTTTGGGCAAAAGGAAAAACAAAGGGTATAAATGCTGCAGTTTGAGCGTGTGTTAAAACAAGGCAAAGCACACCCGGGCTGGCGATCCCGCCAGGTCACGGCGGGCTGTTTCCCCAGCAGCGGGAGCAGCCGGCGGAGCGGCAGCTGCGGGACAATCCCGGTCCCTTCCCGCCGCTGTTCCCGCCCGCGGCCCCGCCACACGCGGGTCCCCGCGGGCTCGGACGCGCTCTGCGCGCCACAGATGCCGCGGGGACAGCGGCGACTGCCGCGGTGACACAGCGGGGACACAGCGGGGACACGGGGGAGACACAGCGAGGACACAGCGGTGTCACAGTGGTGACAGCGGAGAGCACACAGCGGTCACTGCCATGGGGTCACAGCAGTGACACAGTGGGGACACAGCGGTGACTGCCATGGGGTCACAGCGGTGACACAGTGGGGACACAGCGGTGACTGCCGTGGGGACACAGCGGTGAC